ACAGCTGAGACCCCCGGCTCGTCCCCCGCGACGGAAACGACTGCCACAGCTGAGACCCCCCACTCGTCCCCCGCGACGGAAACGAACGCCACAGCTGAAACCCTCCACTCGTCCCCTGCAACGGAAACGACCACCACGGAAACGACTGCCACAGCTGAGACCCCCCACTCGTCCCCCGCGACGGAAACGAACGCCACAGCTGAAACCCTCCACTCGTCCCCTGCAACGGAAACGACCACCACGGAAACAACTGCCACAGCTGAGACCCCCCACTCGTCCCCCGCGACGGAAACAAACGCCACAGCTGAGACCCCCCACCTGCCCCCCGCGACGGAAAAGGCCACCTCGGCTGTGACCTTTCACTCAACGACGAAGGAAAAGCCAACTACTGTTCCCGGAGTCTCTCTGTTGTCCCCCATGGCAGAAACGGTCCCCTCAATTGAGACCGCTCATACATCCCCTAAGACGAAACCAACCGACACATCTACGGTGACCCCTGAAGTCAAGGCGACACGAACTTCATCTCCATCATCAGAGGTTTCCAGAAAACCATCACCTACCCCCAGCAGAGCTTCCAGTGCGGTAACCACCACGCCACCTTTCTTGCCACTGACAGCTCTTGGTATCAGCTACCGCATCACCAATAGGGAATTCAACGATTCCTTACAGGATCCAAACAGTGGATATTACATCGCACTGCAAATTGTAATCGGAAAGATGGTGAGTGTTGCTAGTCCTAGTAGGGAGAATCAATAGTGTGGGCCAGGCCAACCTTTCTTAAGAGTGACTCTTAGGGGTTTAAGAGGAGCTGTGCAGGAATATGGTGGTCAATTTTCAGTACAACTATGGAGATCCACCAACCACCATTCTAATGCTCGCGTAACATGATGGCCGGGGATTTCCCACCGGAAGACGCCGTCTGTCGTGAGGTTTGCAGATGTTAAAATGTAGATTCCAAGGCAGATTTAGAAACAATTATGGCTCTTTAAATAGAACTAAATTGTTGAATTCTATGCGGGTGAGAACTCTTTCCATGCTTCAGAGCTTTTTTCAGAGTTTATTTAAACCTCTTTTCAGAGTTTATTTCTAAACTGGAGTTGACGTTTAGAAATGCTTCAGATTCCCTTGGGGTGGCCGATCCAGAAGCCGGTGGGTCTCATTTGGCCCCCCAATTCTCTTTTTCACTGCCCTCTGACTCCCCCCCCCCCAAAATTAAGCCTTCGATCACCCAACCTGAAATGGTACATTTTTGTCACCAAGAGAAGAAGGTGTGAGAACAGCCGTGGATTTGAGGAGAGGAGGCTTTGTTTCAGATCAGGGTCAGGTTTCTAGTCCTCATTGCTGCAAAATTAGTTTTGGATAAAGTGGGATGGTAAAGGCTCCAAAGTGAGAAGGAGGCCTATTAATATTCTCGCCTGGGGGTGGCAGACGGGCCTTAGTGCGGAGGATAATCATCGGTACCTCCATAAGGACTAGCAGGTTTGCAAAAAGATACAGAGGCCAACCGCGAGCTCGTACCTTTTCCACGCGTGTTGCGTCTGTCACAGAATCGACTCATCAGTTTGGGAATATTGCACAAATTGAGGGGGAAGGATGGGAAAGAAATCGCCACAATCGGGATTTCTCAAATGGCTGGGGAATTCTGGGAGTTGAAGTCCACCCATCTTAAAGTATGCTGGCTGGGGAATTCTGGGAGTTGAAGTCCAGACACCTTAAAGTTGCCAGGTTTGAGAAACACTGATCTAAATCATCATCCAGAAGTGGCGGAAAATAAACAAAGCAGTTATACGCTGAATCCCAAGTCAATAACTCTGTTTCTAATCTAATCTATCTTCTCCTTTCTTTCTTTCTTTCTTTCTTTCCACAGTATAGAAACGTTTACAGCTGTAGTTCGTGCCCATTTGGTTATACAGGCTTCAGGATAATCTTATTCAGGTATGGAAAAAGAACTAAATAGAAAACCCCTTTGGGGGCTGCAGTAGCAAATGAAGGGCAGCTGCCAGCTTAAGCAGCCAGCGCACCACAACCGCCTTTAGCGTCGTTCAATTAACTCCAAGGCATTCCACGCCAAACGTACCAAAAAACCCCCCCAAAAATCCCAAACCAGGTGCTCCAATAAGGTTATTTCTACCAGAACCAGCACCGATTACCACGTGTTCCCCAACCTTTCAAATAAGTCCCTCAAGTTACGCCTCTCCGCTTTACCTCCACCTCTATTTGATTGCCCTTCTACTTACGCTGCTTTTAATTTTGCAGAGGAATTTCATCGTGTTTGCTTTTACACTGTGTTCTGACTCCTTTATCAGTAAAACGGGGCGGCGGGAGAGAAAATACTTCTTTATGGGAACGCTTTTCCTTGGAAGGGGGAAAAAAAGTGCGTTGTTCGAAGAGGGGAAAAGGTGGTTTACACTCAGTTTCTTGGGTTTTTTTTTTTTGTTGCAAAGTACTGGTTCTATTCCTGCAGTAAAAGATTTGGGGGACGGCTTCGTTTCTTGAACTTCTTAATCTTCTCCTTTTCTTTTTAAACCAACAGTCAAGGTTCTGTGGCAGTGCAATCTGAGTTATTCTTCCACAACAAGACTACCCTGTCAATGGCTCAATTACAGGAACGTTTGAGGAATGCGAACACCACAGACTTGGAAGGGTTAGAGCTGAAAGACGTGAAAGGTGAAAGATGGGCTTGGGAAAGGAGGATGGGTTGGGAATCCAAGCAAAGCACCCCATTGGCCCTGTCCCCCAAGTCTCTTTAAACGTACCGGAGGCAGCAGGGCAGAACGGAGCTTCTGAAATTCTCACTCCGGAAGCAAGTTTCTAGTCCTCATGGCAGCCAAGGGAGGCACCCTGTCAGAAGCCAGGCAGAGAGCGCTCTTGGACAGGGATGGGCAACAGCTTGGCTGCTGGAGTCACTTTTAATCGATATTTGCCTGCCCATTGTGGCGGGCTGGAAAGGGGTAAAAAAATTTTTTTATATGAGGAAGACTGGTGGTTCCCCCCCCCCCCACACACACACTTTCTTGGCTTTGTTTCGAGAAGGATTTTTTTTTTTAAGTTGTGTGTTTATTTTTCCAGAGAGGCAACCCAGCTCTTTTCTTTAGGTTCTTGTTAAAATCAGAAAGCGCGCTCTTGCTGTCCAATTTTTGCAAGAAGTGTGGCAGGCTCTGGAAGGCAGGGATAAGGGGGCGCAGGGTGGGCTGGAGTCCTCAAGGCTCCCCTTCCCCTAGCGGTGCCCACCCAGGCGAAAAGACCCAGCAGGAACGAAGCCCAAGACAATCCGATGCAAAATCAGCTGTGCCAAAGACGATCCTGCTATCCTTCCGCCCGTTTGCCGCGTCCGGAATTGCTCGGGTAGAACTAAAATTCCCCACTTTAGTTTTCGACAAGGACTTTCTCTACCCCGGCACAACCCAAATCTTTATTATAACAACCATAGGCCAGTAGGACTTTCAGGCCTCTGGCTATGAGTTTCCAGCCTGGCCTACCGTCCGTCCTGTGCAGGTCAAACACTAGGAACAGACCTCTGGGGTCGGCGGATTGCTCGAGGACCCCGTGTTAGAACCACCAACCCAATAAATCTGTTCTTCTCACTGTCCTCCTGCACGATTCCTGCGCCAGCCTGATTTCTTCCCTTTCCTTTCTGCAGTCAGCGCCACCAATCCGATAATCTCTGCCCCTGAGACGGTTCCAGGCTGGGGCATTGCTCTCCTCGTCCTCGTTTGCATCCTTGTGTTCGTCATGCTCCTCGCGTTATTGTGGCTGGTGAGTCCTTGCTGGGGGGGGTGTGGGTTTCCCGTGATTTCCTGCTCTCCAACTCAAGACTCCTCTGGTCCGGTGTCCTCCGGGCAATTCAACAACCAGAAGCAAAGGAGACCCTAGGACTACATCGGAGGGAGATGTAGTCTGACCCATCAGCTCCCAGAGTGGAGCTCCTCATCCAAGCAGGGTTCAAAAGCAACCAGCTATCCTGGCCATCTGCCCCTAGTGTCTGCTATTGGGGGAGGAGACTGCTCTGCAACATGGAAGCTCCGTCTAGGAAGAATGGCCAAAATGCCCTTGATGGAGGCCCATCAAAGCATCTCCTTAAGATGCCTTTCCTTCCAACAGAATGGGATATTTAGGCATTGCACATTGTTACACACAGTCCTCTACTTGCGAACTTTCGAGTTGTGGATTTTCGCCGATACAAACAAAACTGTCTGCAACTCCAGCCCAGAAGGTCATGGAAGGCAGGAAAGGGTTAGTTTACGGCACACTGCATATGTACACTTGGCAGCACCGTCGCACATTAGGAGGCTGAGTTTATACTTGGTTGGAGTTAGGAACAAAACGGGCTCATGAACAGCCTCTTGGAATGTAACCTGTTCGTAAGTAGAGGACTGTCTGTATTTATATTTCCTCAAAGTTTCTGAGTTCACAGGCCCACATTATCTGGGTCTGTTTACCCCTCCTAGGAGGTAGGTGAAGAATGGCACCCATTGCTTGTCGCTGCCCCTTATTTCCAGAACCAAATCCCCCCATCAAGCGTTTCTCTCCGCTCTATCGCAGCTCATCTACTGGTGTCGACGGAAGCACCGGGGAAGCCTGGAACTGCTCAGCAGCAAAGACTCGTACCACCCCATGAACGAGTACCCCACTTACCAGACCCACAGCCGGTACATGGCCCCCGGCAACAAGCAAAACCCTTACAACGAGGTGAGCGCCAAGCATACCCCCAACGTCCCCCAAAGCAGAAGCCGCTGAGGTCCCTGTCCTGCGGATCCCCAATCAGGAGTGCCCACGGGCCGCGCCATCTCTGCCCTCCGATGGGGCAGCCTGCCCATCCTCCAGCCAGTGTGAAAACCGCAGCCGCCGTTGTGGCCGAGCGAGCCAAGCTTGACGCGGCTGTATCTTTACTGCGGCAAGGCTGGAGTTTGGAAAGCAAAGTGAGCGTTTCGTTTCTTTCTTCCCACTGATCCCAGGGCCCAATATGATGGACGGGGGGTCGTTTCTCAGCGACCCCCCCTTCCTTCCAGGCCCCAGACCCTAAGGAAGGTTCAGGGCCCGCACTGCGCCGGGCTGAACTGAGGCCCAACTGAGTGGCGCTGATTCTCCACAGCCTGGCAGGTCTGAAAGGACAGGAGAGCGATTCTTGAATTCTTTGCAGCCGGCCAGCGGCAAGGCGAATCTAATATCCCGTTGCCCCATTCCCGGTTACTTCCTGACTGAGCTGGCCACATCCGTTCCACGCCGTGTTTGGCTGTGCTGGGTAAACACTGGTGGCTGTGCAAATATCCAGGTCGGCACCAGCACAGGCTAGGAAGCAAGGAGAAAAGGGTCCTTTTTTCGTCTTCCTGCCCCCCCAGATCCCTCCGAGGGAGTTTCCCAGACCGGCAGCCCGTTTGTTTGCCCTTGATGGCTGTGGGGGGAGACAAGCCCTCAGCTGGCCCTGCTGTTCCCCACCCTCGTGACCAGGCAGTGTTTACACACGACATTGACATTTCTGGATACTGCCCAAGCTTTCCACAACAACAGCTGTCTCCTCGCCGGGGTTCAACCATCCAAGCCAGGGCAGTTGGGGAGGGCCGAATTGGCCCTGCAGGGGGGTTGGCTTTTTGTCAGCACGGAGAAGCCCAAGCAAGTTTCTAGTCCTCGTTGGAATATCCAGAAAGGCCCTCTTGAGTTTTTAAGCCTCCAGGGAAAGTAGGAATCCAGGGAGAAGAGAGGAAGGTTGGACTAGGAGCAATATGCTGGTTTTCACAGGGAAATTAATTTTCTTAAATAGATGGGGGGGGGGCTTTCTTTTCTTTCCTTCCCTC